GTTTGAAGAGTGTTCATCCAATGAAGGTCTGAAGGTTGGTGACTTTTAGGGCAAGACACTTAACTCACCTCACTCTCGGTGTTTGTGTGAATGGCTGAGTTTTTCCTTAATTAAAGCACTTTCATGAACATAAAAAAGAAAAGAAAAAAGGCTATATGAGTAACCATTTACTAAGTGAAAATTCTATGATGTGAAATGACAAAATATTCATCAGCCGGTTTCACTTTGTGGAACCGTCTGACCTTGCAGCATGAGGATTCGTTCGCTTGATGGTAGGCAGGTACTTTTTTTATTTACCCAATCGCTGCTATTTGGTTATGACATTTGTAATGCGCCGCTAACGGGACTAACTGGTATATTAAGCTTTTTCCAAATCCCGTAGGAAGAAGAGCAATAACGTCTTTCCCCTTGACAAAATTCACCAAACATTCTCTTTGTTCCGGCTTTAAATCCTCGGCCTCAGGAATCATTGCCAACACAGAATATATGACTTCGTCTATTTCCATTTCGGTCGCTTTGTTTACTGTTGTGCTGTACCACAAAAGGGACCCAGACAGGTGCTTGAGTTTGACGTCATGGCTTCACAGCTCTTCGCTGATTGGCTGGTGTGCAGTCTACAACTTCCAGGGTTCTTGCAAACCGTCTAGTGTATTTCTTGTGTATTCCTTGTGTATTCCTGACCTTCCGATTCCTGACAAAATACCATACAGTTAAGGTTGATTTGAATTTAAATTGAAGTATGGGGAATGTTAGAATTACAGAAGTACTGGGACTATCATCATTTGCCAGACCAGCCAGTCCCTTTTACATCCTGTTCGAATCCAGAAGGGTCTGGAATCAGACCACAGAGTAAAACCTCCATCCAAACTTGAGATGATCCAACCACAGCTGCCAATTTGTAACACGTGTCCCTCAAATGCCAAAGACATCTCCTCATGAAAATTCTCATAAAAGTCAGAACAAAATCTACCTGAAATAACTTGTTTGGTGCTTCGATTGTTGATTCTGTAAAAATCCACACTGTTTATGTAGATTTTTCTCCATTATAAAGTGTAAGCAACCATGTCTGTTAATCCTCCTGTCAATCACGCCCTCTTAATCAGGAAGACACCTCCAGGTCTACTCGTCTTTGGTCAAAGCATGTGGTTCTGGCTGGCCAGGTTTTATCCCCATAGTAAAAAATAACTGGCACAAATGTCAGCGTCCCTGCCAGTATAAAATAACTAGTGGAATTATATTATACTCGATCTCTGAGCTCTTGACAGTACTGAAGATTACATTTTGAATTGTAAATTGTTATAGCAGCACTCCAATCCTTTGAAACGAATGGAAAGAAATGGAAAATGTTGTGTACAGTTGATTAGGAATTGACTGGGCCCTTATGGAGCTTACAGGGTTGTATTGTTTCTTGCTGTGTGCTCTGGGAGTAGAGTGGAATGTACTGTTGTGGTTTTGTGGGCCAAGATCTCAATCAGCCGACCATCACTGCTCCCACTCTTAATGGGTAATAAATTATATTGTCAATCAGGCTCCGGAGACAATGCCCCAGGTGCAGCTACTGTATCCACTCAGAGGGAAGGCTTTGTGCTTCAAGCCAAAATGGAACGAATAGCAGTGGGCAGGATGTGGAAGTGGTCTTAAGATGTAAACAAACAGAATTGAGTGGGTCTGATCTTATCTTCAATCTTTATCCAGAAAAATAAAATGAACCAGATTTACAGGAGACTACTGCTGAATGTTCACGTGCAAACTGTAATTTCCTTAATTTGTATTTTTTCTCTTGTTGGTTCACTGAAAGTCTTAAATTGTACTGCCATAAACAAACAACAGAACACATATAATACTGTACTTAAAGGTGCATTCCACAATTTTTCTTGTGGAGGGTCTGTTACCTACTTGTCTCCATGGAGATGTTATTACTTTGCTCCCGAAGCTTTCCTCCGTCCCTAAAGCAAAATCCTCCAGAGTGGGCGATGCCTGGCGGATTGGGGGCTCTGGAGCGATGATTGACAGCTGACTGACAGCACAACAATCCAACATGGCACGGACTCCAGGCCAGAGGGTTTAGTCCTGGTTTAGACCTGGTTAAGTCCTGGTTTAGACCTGGTTAAATTCTGGTTTAGACCTGGTTAAGTCCTGGTTTGGACCTGGTTTGGACCTGGTTTAGTCCTGGTTTATTCCTGGTTTAGTCCTGGTTTAGACCTGGTTTAGTCCTGGTTTAGTCTTGGTTAAATCCTGGTTCAGTCCTGGTGTAGTTCTGGTGATCGGTTTGTCAGTTGCGGTGTGTGTATAGATGCTAATGACACTGGTTTAGTCCTGGTTTAGTCCTGGTTCAGTCCCAGTTTAGTCGTGGTTTAGTCGTGGTTCAGTCCTGGTGTAGTCCTGGTCCAGTTCTGGTGTTGTCCTGGAGATCAGCTTGGCTGTTGCGGCGTGTATATTTATAATCCGCTAATGACATGGCGTAGGTTTAGTCCTGGTTTAGTCCTGAACTATCGGGCTGTTGGACTAATGACATTGTGATGTAGTGGCCCTAGTTGAACAAAAAGAAGCCGTTACAGACACAGCTTTTGACCCAAAAGTCTGATTTTTAACAGATATATACTGTAGGCCAAGGATAGGTATACACTTCTATTTTAGGCCCATTTACACGGTCAGTCAGTAGAAAAAAAGTGGCTTGGGTGTTGCTTTAAACATATCCATCTATCATTTATTTATTATGGGTGTTTCTTTTGGTCAAAAATACAATAATTCCTTCTGTGAATAGGGGCGACTCTCCACAGATCTGAACTGTATTGTAGTGTAGTGCTGTAACCTGCTTGTCTCTCTTGTAATAGGTATGTGACAGGTAGAAATGTTACACAGAGCATCTTTAAATCTGGAGTAAATAACTTTTTACTTGTAGGATCACTGCTTGTAATTGTAAATAATTTCTATATTTTGCAAACCCATAACAGCAAAAGTCCATATACATTGCTTTATTAAACTTTGGGATATGAGGTTTTCCCATAAGGCTTTGCTTCATTATCGCAATATGTCAAATTGATAATGAATGTGACCCTCACTGTAAAATAAAACTGACATCTGCCGCAATGTAGTTGTAATATCTCTAGTAATTTCACTCATTAAAAAATAGATTAAAAACTCTCTAATACATTTGAACTTGAACTCATCTCTCAAACCACATGATCGAGAACTTCTGCTGTTGCCACCAGAAAATATTTTCCAAAACTAACGGTAATGAGAACCAGATTTTGGTATTGTACTTTTTAGAATGATTGATTGCGTGAATGGCCTCTGATTTCCTCTCATAGTCTCACTTTCTCCTTTGAGTTCCTTTTGTGCTGAAGTTGAACAGACGGCACAAGCTCCAACTTTCAGATCTGCTCACAGGATGCAGGCTTGTTTTGGTGGTTAATCATGAAGTACAGTCGATTCTCTATTCTCTGCCTCTCTTGTGTATGCTAGTGTTTGATGGAGGAGCTACAGAGGAGTCTACAGAGAGAGGAACAATCGGAGGGAGAGCGCAGAGGGGAGGGGCGGGGTATATCAATAACCGTATCGATGACTACAGTGGAAACCGTGGAAATGTTCTGCTTCCGTATTGATCTCCGGTCCATTATGAGTGTTACAATGATAGGAGCCTCCCATCCATCATGACTTGAAACACACCCGCTCGTTTAAACCTTTTTTTATGGAAATCTTTTGGTTTCTACACTCTTTCTTTTCATTGTCTTGTTGTATAATTAAAATATGTAAAAGAGTGAGTTGCTAGTTACAGTTAATGGGTAAATTTGTTGTCAGTGCCATAGTCTTGAACCAGTGACCCCATATTTCAAAGATCCATTGTACTACACTTCCGCTTACACATAACATCATGGACTGTTGGAGCTGAAGATACTGAAGTTGGTTTCTGATGTGACAAGATCTTGGTTTTCTCTGTTATGATGACAGATCTTGTGCCTTGAAATGTAAGATTTGCAGGGTTCCCACAGTCAAGAAAATCCTGGAAAAGTCATGGAGATTGAAAATGTCATTTTCTAGGCCTGGAAAAGTCATGAAATTTTGTAAATTCATTGAAAGTTTTGGAAAAGTCATCGAATTTTAGTATCTCTTTCACACAACTAAAGCGTTCTGTTAAGTTATCATTAGGCTATTATGATTATTTCCAAACCTATGTGCCTTTTGTTTAAAAGAGACGACAATAAATGCACTGACAGTATTTTGAATGTTAAAAAACTATAATACCAAACCATAAGGTGGGTGGAAAAAGCTGACATTTTGTATTTAGCCCTAAAAGTATGATCAATTCTACACATGTAGGGTGCCGTAAAGTCATGGAAAATTCACTTTAGGTAATGAAAAAGTCATGGAAAAGTTTTGAAATTTTGTCACTGAAAAAGAGTGGGAACCTTGAATTTGATCAGAATAGACACAGACACATTTTCCTACAGGGACAATGAAGTATGTAATATAAAGTTACTTGAGACTGTGCTTAAATTATAATTTCTGTTCATTTCATGTTTGGTTACGAAACGAATGAACACCCACATTTAATTTTACGTTTGAAGTCATTTTTAAAAAGTGTATGTTTGAATTTTTAACATTTACATACAGGGGAACAATATTTTTATACAGAAGTCTCAAGTTTTAAGTATAGTATTATATATATTGTTTTGGTTTGTGGCAGTGTACAATAAAATTATTACAATTTTAAAAATACAAACAATTTCAACAATAACTAATAATAATAAGTCAAATTTGCTAGTATTTCTCACATTTGTATACAGAAGTCATGTGTGAAAATGCAGTCTGTAATTTCATTTATGCCATACATTTGTCACTATAAATTATTTCATTTTATTTTATGATTTGTAAGCTTTTTGCACTAAAATTACCTTTGTTGACATTTTCTACTTTAACCAAATTGTTCGTAATAAGCAGTGGGCACTGAGGCCTCATAATGTTGGATTTAAAAGTGGTCCTTGTTGTTTTTTGTGCAGGTCACAGACAGATCCGTACGTGCCGTGGCCGAGCATTGTCCTGAGCTGCAGTTCGTGGGCTTCATGGGGTGTCCCGTCACCTCCCAGGGGGTCATCCATCTCACCGCTGTAAGTAACACATTACTATTCTGTACTGCATTCTACACTCGCTGTGAGGTTAGCGGCTTCAATTTTGCTTTTAAAATTTGCAATGTGTAACTTTTCTGGTGGAGAGACCCATCAAATGCTTTTCACTATGGAGATGTTATTGCTTTGTCATGTTCCACATTGTTGCATTAAACTCTGTCTTGCATTTAATTAGTTATAGAAGCCTTTATTACAAGCCTTTATTACAAAAAAATATACCTTGACAAACTGGGTGTGATTGTTCTTACTGTGACTGGCACACCTCTGCACCTGCCTCTCCAGATGTTTTTGTGACGTCCTCTGCTGTGTCCTCTGCTTGTCTCCATATATAGATAAGTTAATGCTGTGGAACATTCCAAGGAAAACGATAAATAATACAATTTCCACGGAAACAAGTAGGTGAACAAAGCATGAACAAAGACTCGATCCACAATGAGCAATGAATTTATTAAGAATGAATCAGGTTTGGTAACTACTTAATTATTCAGTACCTTCAGCTCCATGGACTGTTGGAGCTGAAGGTACTGAAGTTGGTTTCTCTACTTGGATGTGACAAAATCTTGGTTTTCTCTGTTTTGATGAGAGATCTTGTGCTTTGAAATGTAAGATTTGCAGGGTTCCCACAGTCAAGGAAATCCTGGAAAAGTCCTGGAAATTGAAAATGTCATGAAATTTTGTAAATTCAATGAAAGTTTTGGAAAAGTCATGGAATTTTAGTATCTTTTCTATTCACCTAGAGCATTCTGTTAAGTTATCATTAGGCTATTATGATTTGTTTTTGTTTTTTGCTTTTGTTTAATTAAAAGAGATGACAATAAATGCGCTGACAGTATTTTGAATGTTAAAAAACCATAATATCAAACCATAAGGGGAGTGGAAAGGGTTAACATTTCATATTTAGCCCTAAGAGTATCATACTCTAAGGGCTTCCACACATTTAATATATAATAATAATTCTTAACACATTGTTCATTCATTATAAAGGCTAATTAAAGCTGCCATCTGTAAGTTTATTTGATTTTATTTTTAACCAGTAGATGGCAGATGTGAAACCTGTTTCCAATCTCCCCTTCCCTCACCTGCCTTTGTTCAGACTCACCTGTGCTCTCTTGTCTTCTTCTGTCAGGCCAAAGATGGTACACTATCAAACAGAAGTAATGTGAAGTGTGAGAATACAACAGGGGTGGGTCAGCCAGTCTAATTACAGATGGTAGCTTTAAGGTGCAGTGATTACAAAGCGTTGCCAAGTCTCCCAGTGTAATCCTGTTGTGTGGTCCCTAGGTGTAAAATCTAACTTTTGCTTTGTGCGTTTTTCTTCCCTTGTACTTAGTTTGGTGTTAACTTTAAATCTCATGAAAGCCTAATGAGATGAATGCTATTAATTTGGCTCTGTTGGACTACACCCTGCTGTTCTGGATATTAGCATGTAAATGAGGAGGGCTTCATGGTTAAAGACGCTCTATGCCATGCAAACATGGACACACACTGATGGGCTGAATTAAACAGGAAGCGCCTGATTCTCTGTGTACCCAGTGTTGCCCTCGATTTTAAGCTTGGAGTTGTGGAGAATTGGAAAACTGTGGGCTGAAAAAGAAAATATACCTACTTTATTTTACTTTATTTGGATAATACTCAATATGACTGTTGTACGTCCAATTTACATGGTTTTGTTCTAACTGGATGTAACATTTTTTATCTTTCCAACACAAATGCAAATAAGTCTGTACTTTGGTGACTTACTTGTTAAAGCATTTGGGATGACAGTAGTTCATACAGTATAGACCAGGGATCTCCAACCTGTAGCTCTCCAGCCCCTTTCAAGTAGCTCGCCAAAGGATTTCTGAATTATATGTACTGCCCTTAATAACTAAAATCTGATTAATTACCATTGTAAATGTTAAATTTTGATGCCTAACTTGTGCACTAATAAATGGATAATGGTTTATGTTTAATAAGCATCTAACTGTACCCTGTCCAAAGCATGCCATAGATCTTCTTGTTTCTTAATTTCTTGCAACAACAAAAATGAGCTCTCTGGCATTTTTGTTTCATGAACATAGCTCACCAGAGGTAAAAGGTTGGAGACCCCTGGTATAGACATTTGCCCACTTATAAAAAGGTTGTTTGTTTAGGTCCCAGTTGGTGTTGATGGTGGTAGGAGGGGCCGATGGCGTAGATTGGAAGCTTCTTTGCTTTCTTCAGTCTGTCTCAGGGCAGCTGTGGCTATAATATTAGCTTACCACCAATGCACTGTAAAGCACTTCGGTTGTCTTGAAAAGTGCTAGAGAAATCCAATGATTTGTTAATTATTTCATTAATACATCCAGTCCATTGTGTTCTTGAGCAGGACACTTGCTCTGATGATGCATTATTATACAGAGGAATAGCACTACAGGCTTTAAGCAGTTCAGTTCCTGGTAGATATATAGAGTTAGAGCTATGGCACTTTTCTCTATTTCACTTAGTTTTGTGATGACTGAATTGAATGCATTTCATGTGCAGTTATGTGTGACACTGTAGCTCATAACAAATTCCCCCATGGGGCCAGTAAAATTCATCTTGGCTTATCCTGTAAAACGTCTCTATACGCAACTGTACACAATTTTGCGTGATGTTTTAAATTGGAAACCTAAAAGATACTTGTACATGTTTTCCAAAAGTGTACCTTGCACCCCTGCGCCCTGAGCCTTTTGGGCTGGTGTAATATAATTATACTGGATAGTCTGGGGTGTCCAGGCGAGTGTTAACAAACCCTTGTGGGCTTTGGTGCGCCCCTTCTTCCCCAAATGCAATTACAGTTGTGTTAATAGGACTGAGACAGCCGTGCCACGCCGCATTATTAGATTAAACAGCAGATTAATTTGTGCTCATGGTTGGGGCCCCCCGCCATGGCTGCAGCCTCCTCTGACCTTGGCCCGAGCGTAGACAGACAGTAATGAAGCCAGCCAGTCATAACAGCATTAGCATAGGAACTAGCACACACACACACACACACATGCGCACACCAAACTACTGCTCATTATTATTTATTACAGTATTAAACAGGTAAGCTTTTAGGGTTCACATGAGCAAGTTCAACGCTCTGGTAAACACTATTCATATAATAACATTTTGGTCAATTTTTAGAGAGATTTTGTTGCCTAAAAATGTAACCTTTCACAGGAACCTAAAGACATTTTCCTGCATATTAAAGTGTTTATTTCATTACAGCCAAGCCCATTTTTCCACCAAGGATTTTAACTTAAAAGGCCGGTTCTCATAAATGAGTTTTCCCACTTAAACTTGCACCCACAAACACCAGCTTCGCCAATTCTCTTATCTTATTGCCCAACAATATTTTGAAGGTTTTTCCAAAGAGAATTGATAATATGCTAATCCTACCCTGATTTATTATGCGTTTTAACCCAAAAACCAAGGCAACCAAGACCAAAAATAATATAAATCCCCCATGTAGAACCTTTTCATCTAGCATAGGTCAACAAATTAAATCAAAATGTACTTTCCTTGTTTTATATTCCAACATTGTTTGTCAATTGTCAGTGTAGCTTTTCTAGTGGGACGACCGCCGCGCATCTGCTTGCCTCTAGAGAGATTTAGTAATGCTTTTCCTGGAATGTTCCACAGTATGGCATTACATTTGTCTGTCTCTGAAGATGCTGCCAGGTCAAGTTATCATTAAAATGGATGGAGAGGCGACCATGTTCATAATTTGAATCATGTTTTTAAGGCCTTTAGTTAAAAAGCTAAATGAACGCTTTTGCTCAGGCTGTGGACAAGTGAACAACCTGCTAATTGAAAATATGATAACATTTTTCCAAAGGCTAAGAGGGGAGGATAATGAATGGAGATTGGGACAGAACTGGTGGGATTTTGGGAGCAAACACCGGATTTGATTCATTCATTATTATGTTATAAGGAGCTCATGTGGAAGGTTAAACTTAAAGGCCAATGACTAAATGACTAAATGCAAAATAGGTCAGTTTAGTTTAGTTGTTTATTTATCAGGGACAATGCACATAAAAACATTGAGCTACACAAAGAAGTCATATGTTGTACCAGGTTATAGCAAAATTACTAATTTCCAGCCTCAGTCCCTGGACAGGTTGATGTCATAAATGGCGCACATGCCAATAAAATACAACACAATGTATACTGATGCAGTCATTCATCCAGTCAATAAGTAAAACTAATCCCATTCTGTCTCAGTCACCACATCCATACAGTATTTACATATTTACAGTTTATATTGCTGCATTCATTCAAGTCAGATTAATGTGTACAGGTTTGTTTGGTTAAAAGCCATTGTTTGGCCAGGCGTGCAAACATTTCAATAATTAGTACATGATATAATTTAATAATTTCATGTGGGAGGGGTTCCAGAGTAGCCTGATTTATCTGAGCTCGCAGTGTTAGAATTCGTTCGCTCGACTGTAGGTGGATACTTTTTTTCATTAACCAATCGCTGCTATTTGGTCATGATGTATGTAATGCACTGCTAATGGCGCTAACTGGTATATTAAGCTTTTCCCAGATCCCGTAGGAAGAAGGGCAATAACGTCTTTCCCCTTGATAAAAGTCACCAAACATTCTTTTTGTTTCGGCTTTAAATCCTCGATCTTGGGAATCATTGCCAACACAGAATGTATGACTCTTCGCTGATTGGCTGGTGCCCGAAGTCGAACTACCGGGTCTCCTGCAAGCCGTCCAGTGTATTCTGATTCCTGACCTAGTTGCTGGAGAGAACTTGAAATTGAAATTGAGCATAGGCACTAGGTGACACCAGCCTGGCTAGTTCCAGAAGCTTATGGCTCTATAGGAGAATAATGATTGACCAAGTGAGGTTCTGCATTTTGGAACACTACACCCTCCTCTAGCTGTGGGCCGCTTCTCTAAAGTGAGCACCACAAACTGTCTCAATGGGGGGGCAGCTGCATTATGAATGATTTTAAATAACTTGCTTAAACTGAATCAAATGTTATCAA